TATGTTAGATATACGTAGATGAGTTCTATAGGCGACACTACAGGTTTTCTGACGGCCGTTAGAAATTATTAAACTAAGGTTTATCTTAAAACCTAGTACTGATTTTTTGACGGCTGTCAGAAATCATGGTGTAAATATATATAGTGTGCGGATATATATTTCACAATATATAGTGTTTGCATACCTATGAATGCTTGAAAAAACCACTATAGAATTCGGGTATTGTTACTTTAAATCTTATATATCATATATACTAATTATATTCTTTATTATTCCACTATATTCGACTAGTAGCTAGTAAGATTATATAGATTGTAGGTCTTTTTAAGTACTTGTATAAACCTAGATAGGTAAGACAGGATAAAACTTTTTGACGATCTTAGGTGGAAGCTAGGGTGGGAATTGGGCTTTCTAGGTTTTTGCTGGGTTTTTACTAGGGGTTTGCTAGGTTTTCTAGGTTTTGGCTAGGCTTTCTAGGGTTTTGCTAGGTTCTTGCTAGGCTTTCTGGGTTCTTACTAGGTTATTGGGCTGGATGGATACAGAGGTGGAGTAATATAACCAATAAACCACGCGGATACGTTTTAAGGTCCTCTTCTAAATTGATCTATCGCGTTTGCTTTATTTACACACCGTCATTAGATATTATTGCTCCGTAAGTCCTCTATTCCCCCTCTGTCACTTACTTTACACTTATTCAATTTATTATGTCACAAAGCCAGCAGTCTAACTTCGCGTCCTCTCTTTATAATGGCGATATAGATAATATCAGCTATCTTGCGCTATCAAACCACCTAGCGACTCCCTCTAGTAGCTAGCATACGATCGATCCCTTTGACACTGACTTCCTCCGACCGACAATTCCGCCAATACTCCTATCCTCCTTACAACGCGTTAGACCCGACCGAAGGAAGGCGTTTATTCTCTACGATAAAATGACCCATAACGAATAGGTAGAATAGTGGCTACAAACCGACTTTGGGAGGAAGAGCAAGATTGTCTAGGACTTAACGCGCCATTCGGAGATTTGGAGCCACTACAATCAGGTTGCTCATAGTATAGATGGTGCACCAAAGGTTATATGCCAACGTTGTGGAAATATTCTTGAGCACCCTAATACAGTCAATACGAAGGCCACAGGTAAAATACAATATTATGGTATATCGACAATACAGAGACATCTCAAGACAGCGGCTTATTTAAAGAGCGGATATACAAAGAAGTCATAGATTACCAAATTTCTAAAGCAAGCAGTACGTTCGGAGTAACCCTTTTATTCGATTTTATTTACTAATAGTAATACTAAACTTAGGAAGATATCGAAATACCGTTCTCGCAAGCAGCCTAGGAAGAAGACATCCTACAATTTATCACACTCAATCGGCTTCCACTTCATCTTATTGAGCATCTAGCATTTCAGCGTCTTATTTCTCGGGCTCGTACCGCTCCGTCACCTCCGATCATCCTATCTACTAATACAATTCGTCGCCGACTAGGGAGTATTGTTAAAGATCGGCAAGAGCGGATGCTTCGAACACTGCCTATTGGTTCAAAAATCTCAATTGCACTTGATTGCTAGATATCTCCATTCTCATAGGCGTTTATAGCAATCACAGGCTACTTTGTAGATATTGATTGGGTATATCGTGAGGTACTACTTAGGTTCAAACCTCTCTACGGTGCGCATATAGGCGCGAATCTAAGCAATGTTCTTCTTCAAACTCTGATCGAGCATAACCTTGAAGCCCGAGTGTTTGGGTTAACAACGGATAATGCTTCAAACAATAAGACATTATTTGATTCCCTCTAATAGGGTCTATCAGATAGTGTTATCATTGTTCGAATCCTATGCCTTGCTTACGTTATCTAACTCAGTCTAAACTAGCTCCTTGATCGCATTAAAGTAGTTCTACTAAATGACTTAACTAAGACAAAATAGATAGAGAAGCAATCAAGATTAGCTCATTTGAATACGCAGCATCGGAATCGTGAGATATCCTTTATATTGAACAAGGTCCGCTATCTTGCTATCTATGTGAACGCAAGCCCTTAGCGCTAGGAGACATTTTACAATCTCTAGACAAGCACCGTGAAGCTAGTACCGATCCAAGATGTAAGGACTCGGTGGAATTCAACCTTTCTAATGCTACGTCGGGCAAAGCGTCTACGTCCGATCTTTGCGCTATTTTGTGCAGAGTATGATTGCGAAGAGATACTACTCTATAAGGACGAGTGGCGTCAAGTTGACTATCTTCTTTGTATCACTGAGCCATTTTTCGCCTACACAACTTAGCTATCGAAGACTCGAGATATTACTGCGTATTACGTCTTCAAGATCTACAATAAACTCTTTGAGTATCTTAAGTGTTCAATAAAGTAGCTACGACGTAAGCGTGTGCTATAGAAGAAATAGATGTTTTACGCACTTGAAGCTAGTCGGTTAAAGCTTGATAAGTACTACTCCCAAACCGATAATATTCGAGGATATATCTATGCAATCAGCACAATACTAGCGCCCGTGAACAAGTTTAAGTTCTTTCTTACCAATAACTAGGATCAGAAATAGCGTGACACGTACCACTTATCCTTCTAGGAAGCTCTAATTCCATATCAAGAACAGCTTTCAGCCCTTGATCAGTCACTAGATAACTCTCAAATAATAGCTCGGCTAGGATCGAAGCTTGATACGATGCTAGATAGGAGCAATGCCTAGGGAAGCATAGCTGCTAATAAAATGACTCGTTATCTTGATAGTGGTACGTTTAAGCTAAGCCTTTCAGAATTCTAACTAACTTCGGATTAGATCCTATTCAAATTGCTCCTCTTACGTTCTAGCGAGAGAACCAAGCGCGATTCCCAGCAATTGCTGCTCTTGCGCGTGATATCCTCTCTTTCCCTACAACCGGGGCAGGCGTTGAACGGCTATTTAATACTGCTCGGGATATCTGCTATTACCGTCGAGGAAGAATGAAGTCTCATACAATCGAGGATTTAATGATGTTTCTTTGCACCTCAAGGTTTGACATAGAAGAACAAGAGGCGAGACTTCTTGAGAAGTTCTTCTCTTATGATAAGCTAGAAGTAGCAAAGGAAGAGAAGGATAATAACCTCGACGACATTGAGATCGAGCCAATTAGTGATACCGAGGAACAGGAGACTTCAATTGATAAGGAGACAGAGCTAGATAAAGCTTTATTGACTGCATTTAAAGGGCCGACTGTACGTAAACCCTAGGTGCCATTGCCAGTGAATAACACCCAAGTACGTGCGTTAGGACGGAAGCGAAAGAATTGCGATAATGATATATTCGAGTACTATTAGTTAGTTAATCGATTAAAGCTCTCTAATTCATAGATCTTCAAAAAAGCCTCGAAATAACCCTATATTCTGACGGCCGTCAAAAAAACTAGCAATATAGCTTAATGACCCTATTTTCTGACGGCCGTCAGAATTGTAGCCCTGTAGCCTCAGGAATCTATTAAACGTACAATTAAATTAAACAGTGATTATAGAAAGAGGCCTTGCTTACAAGTCAAATACCCAAAAATACAGCCAAAAACTGCACAAGTTATGTAGTCACGAGTCTTGACATGTTTGCATTGTTTATGAACCCAGCTGGGGGCCCGGGCCCAGCACTGGGCCAGAAATCCCGACCCGGGCCCAGTACTGGGTTGGAGAACCCGGCCCAGAACCCAACCCAGCCCGGGTTGGGCCCGGGTTGGGCCCGGGTTGAGCTGGGTTCTGCGGAAGTCTATATAGTAGGAAGGATATAGGCTTTCAGGGGGATAGCTTCAAGGTCATACATTATAAAAGGCCACTTCTTGAATCTTAATAGTAGTATTAAACAGCAAATTGATGCAACAAACAGAGGATTCATCATAGTGCTAGTCAGAATTGAAACGTATGATTATGATACTCGTATATGATTAACTATATCGTGTATATTAAGTGGGCTTAGCCTATCCAAAGCCCATAGATAGCCTATTCCCAGCCTATTTCCCGGTCTATTTCGCAATATTATAATCCAAAAAATTTCACCCGATAGCTCAAGATATATTTTTAAACCTCTATTTGCCTCGAGATAAGCTATAAAATCATATCTCTATAAAAGCAGAAATAAAGAAGGAGAGATAGGCTATCTGTCAGTATAAAATTCAATCATATAAACCTACAAAATATGAATTTGATACTTGGTTTTATACTTCAACAGAAAGATGCACCTAGTTTGATCTAGATAATATATATATCTCTTCATGCTAATACTCAGTACGCTATAATAGTATGAATTCATAGTCAAATTGGATCCTTTTTGGGTGACTTTGTATGAAATCTAGCATCATGATGTTGAATTCAGTATAATATCTACTCAATTCCTACAATATTGTACTTCTGATGGTGATAATATAATGATACTGAATATACAGGCTGGAACTTGCGTAAAATACAGCTATTAATCAGCTACTTTATGCATGCCAAGACTGTATTTGTGCGTAGAAATGGGCTTTGATAGGGGCCTTATGGGCCCCCATTAATGGGCTGTGGGTTGGGTTGGGCTTTGAATATTGGGCCCATAGCCCACTGTGGGCTGGGCTTTGGGCCGGGGGTATGGGCCCATTTGTGGGCTATGCAGAGGTCTAGTCGTGACTGTATCGAACAAATGCCGCAATGACGTCGATATGGGCTATGACAATTTTAAATTGGTATAGCCTATAGTCTACAAGCAATGCACCTGAACATGTCATGCGCAAGGTCTGAAACGATGTATTTCCCGCACGAATGCGACCCAAGTTAGTGGTCCGGGTAGGATGAAAGTGCGTGTGCATAGTCACTACCCGCCCGAACAATGTGCAGTTTCAGGTTGCTCCAAAGCTATAAATAAGTTCAAATCCCCAAGTTCTCCTTACTACCCACTGCTGTGTTGTATAAACTTGGATAAAGCCAGTCTCCTTTCTCCCAACAAAGTAGCAAAACACAGTTTCCAAGAATCCATTCGTCTGTCAAGTATGGCCAGCAAAAGGTCGAAAGACAGAAAGAAAGCCCAGAAGGCCCAGAGAAATGCCCGTGATATGCAAACGCCAGGACTAACGGAACCGAGCTCGGATTCCGAATCCCAAGCAGCCGAATCTTCCACGGCGCCAGCAGTAGGGCAAAGGGCTCGGCATCGTGATAAGAAAGGCAAACAACCCCTAGCACAAAAGGCTAGATTTGCGAGAAGTCCAACTCGGGAAGGCGACTTCGCCTCAAATGCCGGTGATTATGATTCAAATGACGAACATGAGGAAACAAATCATGGCATGTCAGAAGAATCTGATCATGGTATCCCCGAAGACCAACCACCTGCATTGTTTCCCTGGGTCAAACAAATTATCGAAAGGGAGACATCGAACGAGTCGGAAAGAATGGCGGAGTTTTTCAGAGCGGAAGATCCTCAGTACGAACAATGCGTGGAATTCTTTGAAAGACTTAATGGCCTTATTCGGGAGGCAAATCAAACGAATAATGTTAGCCTTGACGCCGGTATCGTCGACCCAACTTTCTACAAGAACACGTGTAGTACCTGGCGTCAAGTAGCAAATGAACATCTAGCAAAGGGCTCCACAGATGACTTTTGGGATTCTTTCAATCAGACTCGCAATATTCAAAGGCATTTCACTCGCAGGAACTTCCTTCCTAAGACCTGGATTCTCAGCCAAGCGTTAGCCGAGGAAAAAACTCAGACACGAAATCCCATGGCTGGGGAAGATACAGGCTTCACTTATAATAGCGAAAATGGCCAGCCTAGCCCGACCCGTCAGCTTTCAGATAGTGAATCTTCTAGTGTCGAATCGGACATTGATGTCCATAGCGATGAACCGACAGGACTTGATGCGTTAGAAGCAAGAACTAGAAAACAGCAACGCCAATTGAACTCGGCTAAAGTATTATACTGGTGGCCTAAAGGTACTGGCTCCCAGATATTTGTGCGCTACGGAAGCCGGTCCAATCCTGTCTATCGCATTCGGGCTGGGTCATACGAGAGCTACAATCCGAGTCGGGTAGAACGCGTTTTAACTTCGCAGAGTCGTGGCAATGCTAAGGTTGTTTACAAGAGCAGAAACAGGGCTGTTGAGGATTGGAGATACAAACGAAAACATGTGGAGGACTTTGTTGGTATTGGTTGGAAGGTCGAAGAAGATGACGAGCAGGGGCTAGATCCTCTTCACCTCCTTCTCCCCGCCAAAGGCACTATTTATCCACAAACTCGGATCCTAGTTAAATGGAAAGACGGGACAGTTACTCTGGAAGGGCGGTCTTTTATCCGCCGTATAACGGTCGGCTCAGCCTTAGACGGTGATAGAGTGATTTATCAAAAGGCCAAAGATCTCGAGACTACTTACCGTAAAAGGTATGGGTTAGACGATATCGAAGAGGGCGATGATACCGAAAGCGACGGCTCCACTCCGCCAGCTCGTGCTCGCAGCAGAAGATACCGTAGCGAGCCTGCTCGTTACTCGATTCCAGGAAGGCAGAAGATGAAAAGCCGCTATAATTCTATTGAAGGTAGTGAAGGTAGTGAAGGTAGCGATTTCGAGAGCGACGCGTCTACTCAGCCGACACACTACGTCAACAGAAGATACCGCAGTGAGCCAGCCGGTAACCCGACAACCTCAACGAAAAGACGAAAAGCTCCTGTGCATAGAGAGGGCTCCGCGGCTAAGATAGAGCAGCTTGAGCGGAAGATTCGGCAACTAAGCATGCGTAGGTCAATGTCCCCTGAGGATAGGCGCGAAGCGCAGTGGAGACCTCGACGCCGAGGCGACCGGGAGCGCACTGCTTGATACGCAAACACCTTTTGGCTGTTCTCTGGTCCTGTTGTGAGCCGGTCTCAAACAGCTCTTTGAAAGGCTCATAGTAAGGTTAGAAGGCTTGTCGCTCCAGGTGCGGCTGTGGCGTTTGGGCCAGTCGGAGTCCGAAGTTTAATGGTTCATTTTGTTTCCTCGTTCATGGTTCTTGGTAATTTTTTTTCAGTGAGCTTCTTACGCATCTTCATTCGTTTTATTCATATTTACAGCACGTTTCATTCTAGGTTACAGACTGCCAAATTCTACCTAGCTTCCTAGAGATCGCATTTCCGTCCACTTTATTCTAGAGTACTTAAGCATCGACAGATAGTATTGGGCAACATAAATTAGCGCATAGTAAATCCATATCTACGTATAAACACCCTATAGATCCTAATACATTCCCGTTTAAAGACTTCAACTTTTTTAAAGCTATCATGCTAATCTAATCTAATCTAATCTAATCATTACATACATAACGTGCTCAAATGGCGTCCCGTGTGAGTCGGCAAGCCAGGAAGAACAAGGGTCCATTCATCGAAGTCACTAAACTGGAGAGGAGAAGAAGAAGAGAGGAGGCGCGGAGCTATCTGAGAAACTAAATCCACCCCCACCAGCCAATCACAAGCCTTCACTCACGTGATCATCACAACATGATAAGTCACCTCGTCACATCCCGTACTGCGAAAATGCAGTCACCGCTTCCGGTTCTGCCGACTGCTCACCCCATCAAAAGTGCTTCGTGCTTTCTTGGCCACACCACGCGCTATTCCGGCATAAATTACGTGTGGGTTTTTGAAAATGGTTTAAATTAATATGTTGGCACTTATCTGTCAAAATTTGGGAGTCATATGGCCTGGAATAGTCGCTGAGCGAATTAAAAACTTCGAAAATCCCTGCTTGCCCTAGGACTACTATAAATACCCTCCTCTCCCCCTCCGTCTTCTTCGTCCTTTTTCAACTCTTCTTATATAGTATATTACATATATACACAGCAGCTGTGGAGGCTGAAACGCGACTCCACAATGAAAGCTTACGAGCCCAACTGCACAAGCAAGTTCGCCCCTTCAACTTTGATGTCACCTGGCTAACTTATTATCCCATAGGTCGCTGTCTTATCCCTAAGCATTCTCGGCCATGGGTACTTCGTCATCAAAAACAACAATCGGAGGTTCTTCGGATTCGAGATAAGCGGCGGTATATCCAATGCCGAGTCATTTGACTAGTGGCCTAAAGTCTTGAACCGAAAGAATTGCTCACTTCAATGCTCACTTCAATGCTCACTTTCAATGCTTGCGCTACTATATATATCTTCCCCTTATTGCTTTTACAGCTCTCTTCTTTCCTCTTCTTACACTTCCTCTTTCCACGTTTCTCTTCGGTAACGGTGTTAGTATATTTCAAACCTGCCTTGCCTTTATGATCTATGCTGACAGCCAAAAGTATGTCCAGTCCTCGACATGACTGCATCTACGGATGACCAGGACATTGCAGAAGATTCCGACAGCCAGATACAAATGATCAACATATCGCCAAAAAAGGGAAAACTGTCCGCCGACGTCGAAGTCCAGGGGCACGCTGAGCCAAAGTCAACTTCGGCCTCTCCCAAGAAGTCCAATTCCAATTCATCTCTTTTCCAAGGCCGCGAAGGAACTGTCTATCACTTCACATTGAAAGCATTGGCAGAGATCAAGATTCGCTCCAACACGGCAGCTTGATCCCCGCGCGATTGAGAACCTCAACAAGAGAAGCGTTGAGAACTGGGGCAGGTCGACAGCTACTTTTATCAAAGCCTTGTATCGTCTGGTGCAGGATATCCTTCTAAGCGCTTGCACGAGGAGTTCAATAAGTACCACCAAACCGGACTATATCAAGAGCTTGACAGAAGTATAAAAGAATATCTGGTTGCACTTCAAGATTCCCATCTCAATTACGCACAAGAGTATTGGCGAAGCGAATATGAGCTGCCATTTAAAATGGCACGGACACAGACGCCTGTTTTGGAGATACAATATTAGCCACGACGAGGACGACTGGGAGGAGTAGAAGTCTGCTAGGAACTAGAAGGGCCGAGTGATTAAGACAGCGGGCTGGGTTTCGCGATTCGTCAAAGAAGCTATTAGCTAAGAACCTTAGGGTCTCTGGCGGATGGCCAAATGGGCGAGAAATAGAGGCCAGGATCAAGGAAGCACTATGCCACCATTGAATACAGCAAATAGCGTTGCCAATCGACCAGTGAGAAGGTCCAAGTATTACGAGAGGTCTCCTTTCTAGCACCACCAACCGCTAACCTCTCAGACATTGAGAATTTAGCGCAGAATCGACCTCAGATCACCTTCCCACCTATTACAGAGCAAGAACTTCATGCCGCCATACGCCGAGCACCTCCAAATAAGGCTCTAGGAGCTGATGGCATTCCCAACATGGTGTAGAGTCTCTAATCATTCGAAAGGCCCTCGAACCAAGATTCGATAAAGACTTTGCCCTTAAAAATGATACACGGAGGAAGCGCCCACCCCGACGCGTTTATACACTCAATTGTAGTCACCTACGCGCAGTTTCCGGGCTGTAAAAGCGATCTCCGACCGTAGAATTCCTTTCTCGTAATAACCTTCGCGGTCGCAATTAAGCCTATTGCAAAACCAGTCTCGTCAAAGTTGTAGATATCGTCGGGATCGATACCGTACGAAAGGATAGTCTTTTGAACGAGAGAAAACTATTCGGAAATAATCTTCGGGTCTTCGCATTTAGCTCGCTGATAATCGTAGCGTCTCGAGAATCTACTCGATAGGTCGGAATGCCTTTTCACGAATTCTATAACCCAATTTTTGCCGACCGAAGTAACCGGGGTAGATCCACGCGACGCGAGTAAAATATTGGCCATTTCTCGTACAGTCGAGTGCCGAGGGGCTGCTCCACGAGAATCCATTGAGAGAATCCATTTTTGAAGCGATTCCTCTTCGATTTCTGTCAATTTATAGTTATTGGCGCGTGTTTCAGAGCGATTTGTGGTTCCGTGAAGACGCGTGTAGAGAGTGGACTTCGGGACGTTGTAATAGAGCGCTGCTTGGCGTATAGAGGCAATTTCTTGTTTTTTAATAGCTTAAATAGCTAATAAGATCATACCCTCTTTTTCAATTGAATTTCGAGAGGATTGAGTACGAATTGGTGGCATGGTGGGTGGTTGAAGACGAGAGGTCTAATTAATTGACGCGTTTTTAGGTGGGGTGTCCAGCTCGTACGGGGAATACGTTATTTAAGAAAAAAGATTAGGGAAATAAGGGGAAAATATACAAGAGATTTGCACTGTCGGAAAACTGAGACAAGAAAGCCAGAACATAAGCCAAAACATTAGCAAAATAGAAAATTCCTCATCCTTTTATGACGACACACTACCAGTAAATTTTAACGGTGTGGTAGAGGGGCAGCCCCTTGGGTGACCCATTGATCCTGTGGGAAGGGACAAAGAGCTTTGACTTACAGAGCCCGAGGGATCTGAGAATAATTGTGGGTCGTACCTTGCAAATGCGCAGGGGTCGTAGATATGTGGTATTTCATCGGGGGAGGTGGAACTTTCTGACTGGTTTCTGGTGAACTGTAGTCCGCTCGGTTGGAGACCTCCTGGTCACTGTCTGTATTGATCCTGGGGCCGTAGTAACCTGGATCTCCAGTTTGATCATGAACAGAGGTGGATGCTATGAAAGGGTTCTGAACGGAGTATTTGAAGACCGGAGTGTCCTGCGAACTGGCCATCTTTGAAGTCATGGGAGTGCCGAGCATTGGATGGAAGAAAGGGTTGGTGTATTTGGGCGAAACGGTGTAATAAGGATTATTTTGTCGGCCGCCAACTTCGAATTTCAGATGGTTAGGCATGGAGAAGCTACCTGGGAAAGAGTAGACTGGAGTCGAATGGAGAGACTCAATTGCTGTGGTCAGGGCAGCAGGTGCTTGCTCGACAGATATAGGCGCCAGTTCCTGCTTGATTTGTAGAGGCTCTCCGACAGCCTCTGAGGCTGCTTCGGCAAAATCCTCCTCCCCCCCCCCTCCTCCCCCCCCCCCCCTCCTCCTCCTCCTCCTCTTCCTCCTCTTCCTCCTCACCCGTGGGGCGAGGATCACAGTTCACGATGTAGACGACAGCCGTGTTAGCATCTGATAGGTGTTAGCTACCGAAAAGCACTCGCTAGGAGCATTGGGACTTACCAACTACACCTCGCTCAAGTAGTTCCTCCATCTTTCGAACCCGAAGTATCTCATCGACGATGTCGAAGTCGCTTGGGTGCTTCAATCTCCTCTTGGTTTCTCTAGCAACTTCCTTCAGCTTATCAGCAGTAATTCCACGGTCACCAAGGTTGCGGATAATGTGCAGGAGCAATTTGATGCGCTCTAGTTAGATAAGGTGTCAGCAGGAATAAGGCCAAATCATTCCATAGAAAAAACTACCTTCTTTTATCAAGTGGTCAGGTTCCCTATGCATTACAGTATAGGGCCACCATTTTGGCTTGGACTTTTCGGGGTCGCGGTAAGTGCCTGGGGCCGATCCTGGGGGTGGTTTGCCTCCACTATAAGGGTGTTTGGCCTGTTTGTGCGGCTCGATGAACTTGATAAATGCCTTGGCGACGATACTGCAGTTAGACTGCTGAAAGCGCTTGAGGGCGCCTTCATAATAATTCATAACGTTCTATTCTTCTCCAATTCTGAGAGGGGCCATTCCAACCGAACCAGTGAAAAGGCCTCTGCTGCCCTGTTCATCCAAAGGCTTTTCGAAAACAAACTCGGCGGATGCTTTCCTCTTGCGGTGCCTCACCCGGCGCCGAGATAGATCTATTTCCTCTGCAATTTGATATTAGCAGGGGCTCTTGTAATCAGAATGTGGCTTTAATTACGGCGAGCGCGCTGGTGATAGTCGATGCGTTCCCCTAGAATACTGAGAAAATTCTGGCAGACTTCCGGAGTAAACACACTGGCGTTTTTTCGCTCAATAGATTGAGATTCGAAGGTCTTGAGCTTGCCCTCATGATCGAGATAAATCATCGCGAAGTGAGTGTAAGGAAGGTGAAATGATGAGTGACAATGAGACATGGCGGGCTGTACCACAATGTCAGCGAGATTAGGCCAAGTTTGGCAGTCACAAAATGTAAGGGTACAAGAATAAACTCGCATTCCAGGGGCCCTTTGGAGGCCGAAGCAGATAGTAGAAAAATGTCTCGAGCTTATATGCGGAAATTCTGATGATGATGGCTGTCTATTTATACGGAAACCCCAACACCTTGGGTGAATATCGGTAATGGTCTAGCCTTCTCGTAGCAACAACTCTTTTCTACCTGTTTTTATAGAACAGTTAGGCACATCGTAAAACACAACTTCTAATTTTATTTTTGTGTCCGGTATTTCACGGGTCTTAGGGAAGTATAGGACTGCAAAATCCGTTCCTCTGAGCAACGATGATCCGATTATTTTGCAATAACTGGTAAGAGATCTCGACTCAAAGAGAGCTCTTTGTTACCAGCACCTGCATTCCAAATACTAGCAGGAATATGCAAAAACGTGTAACCTTGCAAAAGTTCTCGGATATGAGATCCACAACGTTCTAAAGGCCTGGTACGAGGAACGTCTGGAAGAAATTTGTAACCGCTTTGAAACGCTCGGTTACTGCTGAGCAAAACAGATATAATCAATAACATCGTCTGCGCTTTCATTGGTCACTGAATCGGGCTTAATTCAATACAAGCAAAAAGTCGAAGTCTGAAGGGGCCATTTCACTCATTATGCTTTGGTACCGACCCTACAGTGTTCTCTTCACTTCATTGTCATAAGGCTGTCTCAAGAAAATAACTAAGCCATGTGATGCTTCCGAAGATAAGGCATCAAAATGCCAAGTCATCAACGCTAGCATCAAAACAGTACCATAACTGAGTTCTTGTACAATATCCCTTATATAGTCGTGTAAATCATTTTCGAGAGAGTTCCTATCGGGACATGGTTCCTAGAATCTTCTGCTTCTCAAATTCTTGCAAAAGTCTAGTAGCATCCTAGCATCTTGGCTAAGGGTCTCCGTGGGTGTCCATTGTAAGAGGGACGGAGATTCAATTCTCAAAAAGAGCATTGCCTTCAAAGCAACTTTTGCCGGTCCATGCAGAAATTGAACGGGAATCGGGGCGGACTTCTGATGTGAGTATATCACCGTCACCAGCGAGAGGTGCGGGTACTCACCATGGCTATATTTTTGGTTTAATGGCAAGACGCGATCGACGGACACCTTGAACAGTAGAAAAATTTCTCGAGCTTATATGCGCAAATCCTGATGATGATGGGTGACTATTTATACGGAAACCCTGACGCCTTGGGTGAATATCGGTAATGGTCTAGCCTTCTCGTAGTAATAACCCTTTTCCACTTGTTCTCTATAGAAAAATTAGGCACATTGCAAAACACAACTTCTAATTTTACTTTTGTGCCGAGTATATGATTTCTATCGTACATCGCCATTTTTCCCAACAACCTCTAGTCATACCAAAAGGAGATAGAAAAATATGACCTGTGCTTTCTTAGAGACTGCTGAAGTCCCAACAAAGGAGAAATACCTACATTGCATATAAGCTGGACAGAGCGTCAGAGGAGCTCTTGTGGAGTATTTACGTGCTACAGATACGACTCACCCATAACAGTATGTAGTTAGCTTAATTCACAATTCCTGTCCCGGTATTTACCAACCAAGACGATATGAATTGCGGATGTATCGCGCAGACCCGAGCCGCTTAAACCGTCCAAGAAGCAACAAACCAGGTCAACAATGCTCGTGACCGACTCACGTCACTGGTAAAAGAAAAGGAGGGAGGCCAAAGTGGTCATGACTCTATTGTGCTATACAGGTTGATAGAAAACGGGTAGCAGCTATGTGACTACTAGAAATTGAATCATGCGACATAATGAAATTCTCGCTAGGAACAGACAACTGGCTTAGTGCATAGCCCTTTTCACCAAGCGATCTGATCGTCTGACCTTACTTCCTTCGCCCTGTAATGATTTGCGTTTCTTTGATCCCACTGAGTCGCTGGGAACCACGGTTTCAAGCAAGCCAAGAATTTTCGCGGGGTTCTCTGCTTTCACTTGCTCGCTCCTTCGCTGGTTTGCTAGTTATTGTTAGTAAGCCATTGCAGAACGCATGCCAGCCCCAGAGGTGGTTGAAGAATTACCATCTTTGCCCTTTCCATACTCGTGACTAGGGCTGCGCTCGACATGGAAACGATTCCCGGCCATTTCCAGGTTTTGGCCGTCCAAGTGGAGGTGATTTGCGGATGATTGCCCGGACGCTTGCGGCTCTTCCGGATCTTTGCAGGCCGATAATTGAGTCGGCACTGGGATAGGGGTCGAACGGCCAGCTATGCCAACGAATCGCTCCCATAAAGACTCTGAGATGATTTCAGTGTCTCCATCAGAACCAAGCCGCTTAGTCTCAGAATAGCTACGATCCTCTTCGACGTGGAACACGATAGGATTGGATTCCGAGCCTAGTGGAGCAGGATCGTCTTCGATCAAGATAGGATTGGCCTCCGTGCTTAGGTCCGAAAAATCGATGAATTCGCTTGTAGCTACCATAGCCCAGTCTGGATGCTCTAGCGGGATTAATGCTTCGAAAATCCCAAGTTAGCGTGGTCAAAACTGCTTCTATTAGGTCCCTCACCGAAGACTTCGTATGTGTTGTTTGTGAAGGAGTCCATGCTGAAGTTGGAAAAAGACTTGATTTGTATTCAGTTGTTGTAATGAAGAACTCGTGCGAGGCAAGCGAATTTATACCTTAGACCCATCCATTACGCCTTGTGCTAATTCTCAAGCTCAGACAGCAAAAGTCGCAGGGCAGGATTTGATCTAAACAAGCCTTGCCTGTCTGCCAATCGTTCCTATACGCAATGCATGAATACAGGTCTAAGCTGTACGAAGTAAGGGTTTTTCTCCGCCAGCCCAGCCCTTTGGGATCGGGTTGGGATTCGCTTTTGTTTGAATTATGTTAATTATTCTCGTTCTTGTTGCATCTTGGACATTATAGACCTGGGTCTTTCTTGTCACTTGTAAATTAACTACTTGGGATGTCAACACTTTGAAACTATGATATTTGTTCCTCACTTTAATAGCATATCTTCATTCTTAGGCTCCCACGATTATTCAAGGTTTGCTTACATGTTTTGAAAGTGTTTGCTGTACAATCGTGAAACGATCAAACCCCTCCGAGGCAAATCCTCCTAATTCAAGACCATAGTATTTATGCAATTTCTCCCATTGAGAATTGCCCACAAGCTCATTCGCTTTTCTGATATTCCTTTCAACATTCCAAATGTCCAATTCGGTCGCCGTAGTTTTCATGGTGCCGACAGTCAATGTTCGTTTGGCCCAAGGCCACCGAACAATTCGCTTTGTGCCATCATTGTTCTCAACTCGAAACAAGAATGAGCCCGCCTGCGGACCTATAAATGAGAACAGATATCCATTGCAATCTAGAAACTCCTTGATACCAAGAAGATCCTGTATATCATAGATCACGGACTCATTCAAAGTTGACTGGTTACCGACTTCATTAGTATAGAGAATCCAAATTCGGATGGGAACAAACTTTATCTGATTGAGCATCGCTATAGTTTGCGGGAGTTTTTCGATCGGGGCGTATGATCTGGAATGGCATGTTTCCAGATTGTCTAGTACAAGAGATTAGAAAAAGAATAGTTTTCGATTAGAGAAATCCCACCTCGCTTGGGCCATACTCCCTAGCTTTAACGCGTTCGAGTTCCTCAGATGCCAACTTCGAGTCTGGTAGGCTTATTGTTGATGCACTACCTAAATTGATACAGGCTGTGGTTTCGGAACCGTGATTGGAATTCGGGTTAGATCTAGGTTTGATACCAGCAACGCGCGATTTCGCGGGCGACTGTGTAGGGTTTTTGTTTGCAAGATCTTTGTTGGGACCGTGGCAGCTTGAAAGAAGTATTCGGCTGGGTGCCTCTGCCCTTGGTGCCTTGACTGACTGTGTAGAGCTTACGTCTTGGGACTCTTCGTTGGGACCAGAGCAACAGTTCCTACAGATTGAGGAAACGCTACCCATTAGATGGCTTGGAATCCAGGGTAGTATTGAAAATCGTATCAAAAATTTCAAAGGAGATGGGTTCAAATATAATTTTTTCTCTTAATGGGAAGAATTGATCGCTTCTTAAGTAATAAAAATATTGGTAGGTATAGAGCTGAGCATCTAGCAAAAATGATTGGATACATGGAAGACTCGCGCATACGGAACTTTGCTAGAAGTTCTGGCCAGCCAACTTCCTCTATTACAAGCCATATTCTGACGTATTCAGAAACTAGCCAGGGTTATAAATAGTACTTATCTCCTGTCAATGTAATAATTCATTACTCATCTTATTCCGCTAGTACTGTGAAAATGGAAATGGCATTGAAATTCTTCATTTTTGCACATTCGATATGGGCTTTCCTCATAATTCGAGCTATGATTCGGCATTCGGAATGGTTCCTCAACTTCAAAGACTCTTTCGATTCAGGTACCTGGTTTCAATTCTGCACGGTGGCTCAGAGCTAAGAAAGAAAATAGTATATTCTGACTGGAAAGCTACGAGGCCTGTCACTATCATGTGAGCCGAGAGTCCTTCGTCATGAGCAGCAAATTCAAATTTCACAAGCCCAGGCTTTGAGTAAAAAGTCCAATTTTGAAATAATGACATGCAATCTCCGTTTGAGGTATTTGTCGTATCCTCCCGGGCTTCAGCGGGCTTTTCCTTTATCAGTGCCCTGGTTTTCCACTCTAGAGCTTTCCTTCTGAGCGTCTTTTAAGCATTTTGAACAGTTATAACTATATTCATTGGTCCTTGGTATGATTCCCGTCTTGCATTTGCCCCCGAATAAGCGTGGTGGACATGGTAATCTGGTTGTGTGCTCGTGGGTACATCCATATCTCGTGGTGACATCCTCACACATGGCAGACAACCTTTCATTCGCACTATACATTAGCTAAGTGCCCTGTTATTCTGATATTGCCGTATTTCAAACCTTGTGAGACTAGGTAGAGTTATAACAAATGAGTGAGGTAGACAAATGAGTGAGGTAGACAAATGAGCGAGGTAGTAGTTGCTTCAGTAAACTAAGGAAAGAAGGGCTTAAGTCAGCATCAGTAGTAGTACAATATCCGGGGGTTGTTTTACCTCGCTCTATTATTAGGAAGATGTCTAGAGGATTTACACGGAGACTCTGGTGGCAATATCTTTATATTTATATTGAACCTTTAAAGCTTTAGGTGAATGTCGGTAATGGTCTAGCTTCCTCGGGGCAGCAGAAATCCATCTCCACTGAACATCCAAGCAAAAGGTAAGTACATTCCATAACAAGTTATCTCACACTTACACTCTTCTTAGCAACCTCTCGTCATCCCCCAAGGAGAATTCAATTATGGCCTTTACTAGCTTAGCGACTGCTAAAGTTCTATCAAAGCAAAAAGACTTACTTTTCAAATGATACGTTCGCTTTAATTTCGTTGCATGGGTTTGATAGCATTTCTTCAGATTGCTTTATAGTTCTAAGCCTATAGTTTGTCGATGCATCGGCGCCCCGAGATGCCATTAGGATTCTTTATAGGCTCTGGTAGTGCAAAGTCCTTCATAATGATGCATAGAACATAGTGAAGTTTCACATCTCCTAGACCCTTTTACGATGGCCTTACGACAGTGAAGTGAAGAGAATACTTCAGGATCGATATCGAAGCATAATGTGTGAAACAGGCTCTTCAAACTTTGACTTTTTGCTTGTCCTGAAATGAGCCCTGTCTAGTGACCAGTATAAGTGCGAAACATGAAATGAATTATATCTGCTTTGCTCAACAGTAACCGAGATTTTTGAAGCGGTTACAAATATCTTCAAGACGTCCCTCGTACCAGTCCTTTAGAACGTTGTGGATCTCATATCCGAGATCTTTTGCAAGGTTGCATCTTTTTGCATATTCCTGCAGGTATTTGGAATGCAGGTACTGGTAACAAAGAGCTCTCTTTGAGCCGAGATCTTCTGCAGGTTGTTGCAAAATAATCGGATCGTCGCTGCTTAGAGGAACAAATTTTGTAATCCCATACTTCCCCAAGACCCGTGGAATACCAGCCTTAAGCACCGCAAGATCCACTAGGAATGCTTCTTTCGTGATGCCATGCGCTTGATGCTGAGCGCTAAGCTCTCGAAGAGCAACGGCATCAAAAACCACATCATTGAGACCGTTTCTTTTGATGTCTTCCATAACTTGAAGCCCATTGGGAGAAAACCAAACCCGCACAGTCTTGTTTGGTTAGAGTTTGATGTCAGCGAGGAGGAAAGGGTAACACACGTGCAAACGAATCGGCTCTGAGTCTCTGGCAGAAACACCAGAGCATGAATCAGCAGAAATGGTAGGCTGCTCTTTCGGCATATCTGCTTCCAAAAGATCACTCAACGAATCTCGGTTAGGGTCTGGACCTCCGAACAGAACTGTCTCGCGCGAGTTTCTTGGAGAGAAGAGTCGGGTTATACAATTTGAAAGGAAACAACGAAGTTCCGGTATGCTCAAGCAGACCATAGTCTCAGATATGGAGTCTTAGTGATAGGTAGAAATAGATACTGGGCTACTTTTGAAGCGACTGTCTCTTTTAATATGATGTACCACATGTTTGACGAGATTGCGCGGAGATACTGACTTGGAAGCATCCATTTTGCGGACCATTGCGGTAAGCGTTCAGCGATGTCAATAAAACGTTGTTGAATTAAAAAAAAAAAAAAAAAGGCAGATCAATTAGAAACAAATCTTCTTTGGCCATGCAGACGTAGCTAATACTGCTATTGAAGGTCTGCGGGTATCTATTCGGGACCTGCTGTTCTTAAGAAAATACCGGTCAGTCATATCGATGTACACCGTATTACTTTAAGCTTTGACGACGAGCGGGTTCAAAAAAGCTCACGCGGTATTCCATTCTGGGCTCTAACGTTTGGTGCCAATCGTTAGAGCCCAAAATGGAATAGCGACTTCCTGCTGTGGTCTGGTGGAGTGCTTCGTGCACGGACATTCTTTTCACCTTGCTGAACCCCCTGCCATAACATAAGCCAAAAAGGGCTTTCCAGGATTCTGTTTCCAAGAGATAATGTGGGCTACAGCTGCACATAGAAAGCCAATAACATACAGGAGAAATACTCCCATAGAATTAATTCCCAAACACAACAAGTTCATTGATCACATGAGGTTCTATTGGCTTTTCTATCGAGTGTGCACTGCTCGCTTCTCTTGATCATAATATTGGCCATAAGCAGACAGCTACAGCACCAAGTCGCTTTAGGAATACTGGGACCCCGTAGTATTTGCTGCAGTGATGGTCTTGCTGCCGAAAAGTGGGGCAGTCATCCAGTATTTGCTTCAACAAAAAGCCTGTGCAGCAGCACATAATTTCTAGGCTTCCGCAGGACCCAGGTCTGGGTCCAAGTATTGGACCCAGCCCCAGACCCAGCCCGGGTCTGGGTCGAGGCTAGGTAACCCGGACCCGACCCAGGACCCAGACTGGGTACCCATTGGGGCCCCAGCAACTTTGCATAAAATCAAGGTCTTGGCGGTTATAAACCTGCTAACTAATCAATATGTAATCTTAGTATTTTTTGCTGTTTCAGTGAAAGCTAACATAAATGAACTTCTTCGATAGTAATTCAAAAAAGATAATAG